AAAAAAAAAAAAAAAAAAAAAAAAAAAAAAAAAGATTTAACCAATTGACAAATTACTTTGTATTAAAATGTTGCAAATTAAAAATACTACCTGGGTCTTCCAATTAAAACTGGTATATTGAACATATATCCTTATATTGGCTCCCATAATAAGTAAAAACTTGTCAAGATGACAAGGATAAAAAAGAATGGGAGAATGTGAAAAGCAGATATATGGCATAAAATATGAGCAAAGACTCTAGCCTGGGTGACAGAGTAAGACTTCATGTCTAGTATAAAAAAAGAGAGAGAGCTAGAAGGAAAAAAGATGAGCAAAGTATAGCATATGTTTTCATGTAGCTGACACTGTAGATCTGCTGGAGCTCTATATCTGAAAGTCAGTGGAAATAAGACAACAGGGACAAGAACTGGCTTTACGACAGAATACAGGAACAGGGTAACTATTTGAAAACAGAAGTTTGAGTGGAGATCCACCAGCTATAGAAAAACACTTTAAAAAACAAACAAATAGTTGGGTGTGATGGCTCATGCCTGTAATCCCAGCAGAGGCAAGAGGATTGCCTGAGTCCAGGGGTTCAAGACCAGCCTAGGAAAATTGGTGAGATCTCATCTCTACAATAAATTTAAAAATTAGAGCCGGGCTCAGTGGCTCAGCCTGTAATCCCGCGCCTTTGGGAGGCTGAGGTGAGGTGAGTGAGCCCGCAGGTTCGAGACCCACCTGGGCAGCAAGACCTCATCTCTATAATAAACCAAAAAATCAGCTGGGCGTGGTAGCGCATGCCTGTAATTCCAGCTACTTGGAAGGCTGAGGCAGAAGGATCGCCAGAGCCCAGCAGGTCAAGGCTGCGGTGGCCGGGAGTGGCCACTGCACTCCAGTCTGGGTGACAGAGTGAGACTCCAACTCAAAACAAAACAAAACAAACAAACAAACAAACAAAAATTAGCCATGTATGGTGGCACACACCTGTGGTTCCAATATTTGGAAGGCTGAGGTGGAAGGATTGCCTGAGCCCAGCTGGTCAAGGCTACAGTGGCCATGAGCATGCCACTGCACTCCAGCCTGGGTGACAGAGTGAGAATCTGCCTCAAAAATAAAAATAAAGATTAAAAAAATTTAAGAACCTGAGACATATGACTTTAAAATAAATACATTCAAAAATAAATCTATAAATACATTCAAGATATGTTTAAATGAAAGACAGATCCATATTTAGCAAGAGAATGCTAAATTATTAAACAAGAATAGGCAGAAATAAAAGAAACAAGTGGATGAGAGAAAAAACTTTAAATCCTCAAAATAAACTACATGGTTGTCTTAATAAACCTGATCTGTCTTAATAATTCTAGACTGACATGGCTGAAGATAGAATCTGTAAATCTAGATGATAGTAGAAAGAACTCACTCAGAATGTAGCAAAGACAAAGGTTAAAAAAAAAAACAGTCAAGAAACATAGAAGCTAAATCGAGAGATGCTAACATAAGTCAAGGAGGAGTTCCAAAAGAAAGAAATAGAATGGCAGAGAAGCAATATTTGAGTTGTGAATGCTGACAACTTTCCCTTTTTTTGAGTTGGAGTCTCACTCTGTCACCCAGGTTGGAGGGCAGTGACACGCTCTCGGCCACCACAGCCTCGACCTGCTGGGCTCCTGCAATCCTTCTGCATCAGAACTTCCAAGTAGCCAGAACTACTGGCACGCGCTACCTCACCTGGCTAATTTTTTATTTCCTGTAGAGACGAGGTCTCGCCAAGTTGCCTGGCTGGGTCTCAAACCCATGGGCTCAGGCAATCCTCTCGCCTCAGCCTCCCTATGCTGA